CGCTTGGGAACCCTGCAGCCCAATGGTATCAATGTGGATTTCACAAGTTTCAAAATCTCCCCTCCCCCTACCGTATCCCAAAACCAGTCCAGCTCGTCCCTGCCTCCCTAATCTGTTCTTCCTCCCACCTATCCCCTCCTCCCACCTCAAGCCGCACCTCCATCTCCTACCGACTAACCTCATCCCACCCCCTTGACCTGTCCATCCTCCCTGGACTGACCAATCCCCTCCCTAACTCCCCACCTACACTCATCTTTACTGGCTCCATCCCCGCCTCTTCGACCTGTTTGTTTCCTCTCCACCTATCCTCTCCTCTATCCATCTTCTATCCACCTCCCACTCTCTCCCTATTTATTTCAGAACCCCTTTCCCCTCCCCCTTTTCTGATGAAGGGTCTAGGCCCGAAACATCAGCCTCTCTGCTCCTATGATGCTGCTTGGCCGGCTGTGTTCATCCAGCCCTGCACCTTGTTGTCTCACTTCTACCTACAATGGGAGCCTCGATCAATCTGGAAATCACCAAGAATGAGGTGGTGTAAATTAATTCAGTGCAAACTTTACCTCTCACTTACCACTCTCACTGGCAATGAAGTTACTCTCATTTTAGCCATAACCTCTCGATAAACCCACAGGGATTGAATAAAGAAAACATATCAGTCGCATTGTTTGTCAAAGAATGCCAGAGGTACTTCACTTTTTGTGACTATTATTTTAACTGTGCTCTAGAATCTTCAATTTATCCACACTGTAGAAATTTAATTTTAATGCTTGAGTAAAATATTACAATTCTATTATGGAGATACCATTCATTTAGTTTCTTGCCCAGTTGTTAAATATTACATGCTTCATAAATCTACAACAGAGTCAAACACTACTGGAGATCGACATTGGCTGATTAGTCAAACCTTTCAGAAATCAGGCCAATAAATTTCCCCTGGCACATTGTCAAACTTTTTATCCAATGGTGCTGGACTCTGAGGAGTTAAATCCTGTAACATTTCGAAAATCTCTTCATCAGAACATTTACTAAAAGGCAGCGTTGTGTGGCTGAATTTATGAGATTTAAACATACAGAAGGTGTTTTGTTGAGTGGAAAATGTGATCAAAAATTTACAAGCTTGAATGAAACAAAGTTGCAATGTGAACAGCTAGGTGTAACATTCACCAAAAACATTTTATTGCCAAAGGAAACATAATTGGGCTAGTCATGTTTTGCCACTTCGCAATAAAAGTAGCAGATGGATTACAACTCTGATAAGCGTGAGGTAGTGCATTTATGGAGATCAAACAGGAAAAGGGAATAGATAATAAATGGGAACATACTGAGAGGGGGAAATGAAGTGAGAGATCTTGGCATGCAAACACAAAAGGTCCATAAAGTTAGCAGTGCAGCTAGATAAGGCATATGGAATGCTCTCCTTCATTGGCAGAGGCATAGAACACAAATGACGGATACCATGATGAAACTGACACTGGTGAAACCACAGCTGGAGTACAGTGTGCAGTTCTGGTCACTACGTTGTCTATTTCTATACAACTGTATTGTTACTTCAGTTCAGGGGGCAGTTAAGATTAACATTGCTATGTAGGTCAAGCTGAGTAATGATGATAGCTTTTCTTCCCTAAAGGACATCAATGAACCAGATGGTTTTTATTACAATCTGGGCACCATTATATGTTTTAATTGAAAATGAAATATTGATGTAAGCCACCCCTAATTGCCTCAAGATGGTTTGGGCTGACACTAATTCTTTTATATTCCAAATGTTTTAAACTAAATTTAAATGCACTAATTACCACTGTGGGTTTCAGACTTATATGTCCTAGATTACCAGTCACTCTGCAACATAATTCCCTAAACGTGTGTGTGAAACATTCCAGTTTTATACCATTGTGGACAATGGTAGTCAGTAAACTGGGGGAAAGGGGATTTGAGTAAGAATGGGTGGATAATGTATTTATGTTAATTGAGAATCTGTTTATTTTAACAGTGTTCTGTATATCTGTCTAAGTGCTGACTGCTTATGGTGGTGTCAGCCCTGGACAAAGAGAAGAATAAGATGAGTAAAACAGAGGAAACAAAATGAAAAAGACACCAAAGATGGAAATGTAGTAATATTTCTGTATGAGCTCTTTCTCAATAGGACCCACCTTCTAACGTCTGACTGTATGTTCAGCTGCATTAGAACGTTACCCCATTTCTGTCAACACTTTGTACTTAACCAGTAGGATTTTGACTCCTAAGGCTATTTGCCCAGAATACAGGTTAGATTGAGCAAACAGAGACCTTCATTGCAGACCTTTTAATTAAACTTAGCTTCATGTCAGGTAAAAGATCTTTTATTTCAACTTCCGAGGGAAATACAAGGTATTAACTTCAATGATAAAGAACTCAATTGATTAAATCCCAGTTTCTGCACAATCCATTATAAATTAAACAGTCTTTTAGCATATTATGCTTGCAGCTGATGGTAAAACTGGATAAGTCAGATCCCAGAATGAAACCTAGACTGATAGATTTTTTTAAAAAACATTGATAATATGTTGATTATTTGTTGAAACATAGTCACACAAGGCTGCAGAGTGCCTTTGAAAGAAAATATAAGTTTATTACACATATAGTGAGAGCAGAACAAAACAATCCATGTTATTTAGATCTAAAACACAGTTAAATCTTCGAGTACACTGCAAAGCGTAGTTTCACCCTGTTTCTTAACACTATCTGCTGTTACCCGATTCAAAGAGAAACTTTCCCTCTATGTCAAATCATAAAGTTCAACTCAATTTTTGATAGTTTCTTCAAGTGAATTTTCAAGTTTCCAACATAGAATCACAGGGTACAGCACGGAAACAACCCCTTCAGTCCAGCTCATCCACACTGACCATCCACTGATCCGAAATTTATCTCGTCCCATTTGCCAGCATTTGGCCACACTCCCTCCAAACCCTTCCCATTCATACACCCATCCAGATGCCTTTTAAATGTTGTAATTATACCCACGTCTATCACTTCCTCTGACTGCTCATTGCATACATGCACATCTGCATGAAAAAGTTACACCTCAGGTCCTTTCTAAATCTTTCCCCTCTCACTGTAAACCTATGCCCTTTAGTTTTAGACTTCCCTACCCTGGGGGAAAAGACCTTGTCGATTCACCCTGTCCATGCCCCTCATGATTTTATCAACCTCTATAAGGTCACCCCTCAGTCTCTGAACCTCCAGGAAAAATATCCCCAGCCTATTCAGCATCTCCCTATAGGTCAAGCACTGCTGCGGGTCTGGAGTTACATATAGGTAAGGATGGCAGTTTCCTTCCCGAAAGGGCCAGATGGGTTTTTTTCCCAATTCATGGTCATCATTAGACTCTTAATTCCAAAATTTGTATTGAATACAAATTCCACCATCTGCCGTGGCAGGATTTGAACCTAGGTTCCCAGAATGTTACTTGCTTTGCTGGATTAACAGTCTAGCACTAATGCCATCAGGCCATTGCCTTCCCTTAGGGTAATTCTGGGAATAGAACAATTTTTCACTTTCAATATCTAGGCCCCTATGGGACATGGTGGTTTAGTGGTTAGTACTACTATCTCCCAGCAGTAGGGACCCAGGTTCAGTTCCAGCCTTGGGTAACTGGCTGCGTGGAGTTTGTATTTTTTTCACCTATAGTGTGGAAACAGGTCATTCAGTCCAATGGGTCCACACCAGCTGTTGGAAGAGCATTGCAGCCAGACTCAACCCACCACCTTATCCCTGTAACCCTGCATTTCCTACAGCCAATCCACCTAATTTACCCATCCCTTGACACTATGAGTAATTTAGCATGGCCAACCCCACCTAGTCTACACATCTTTGGATTGGGGAAGGAAACCCGAGTACCCGGAGGAAACCCACGCAGACATAGGGAGAGTGTGCAAACTCCACACAGACAGTTGCCCAAGGCTGGAATCAAACCATGGTCGCTGGTGCTGTGAAGTGCATTCTCCATGTGTCTACAAGGGTTTCCTTTGGGTGCTCTGGTTTCCTCCCACAGTCCAAAGATGTGCAGGTTGGGTGGATTAGACATGCTAAATTGCCCACAGTAAGCAGGGTGTTCAGACTAGTGTCTTAGCCCTGGCAAATGCAAGGTTTACAGGGACAGTGTAGGGGATGGGTCTGGGTGGGATGCTCTTAGAGGGTCAGTGTGGATTCAATGGGCCAAATGGCCTGTTTCCACACTGTAGAGATTCTAAATTCATAATGAACCATTTGCTACGGTTCCTCAGCAATGTTTCTTACACAGTGTCAGAAAAGTTTTGCATTGAGTCAGAGTATACTTAATCATGTCCTCTCCAGATTTCTTTATGAGTTGTCCAAGAGAGGTGACACTTAGTTATTAGTTTGTAGCAGCTTTGTGCAGTTGAGGTGTTCCTGATTAAGGTGGACAAACCAATGTGACCAAAAGAAAGATTGTGAGAGGAGACTTCTATTTAAATAACCTGTCTGAACTCAAGCTCATTTCTCATAAGTAAAACATGAGGAATGCTTTATTTTTGTTCCCAATGGTTGTGGTGCAAAGATTCCAAAATGTCACCAGTTTCCTTTCATCGTTGAGAAGGAAGCTGGCTGCTAGTTGGCGTCGCTGATGGTGCACTTTTGAACAGATCCCTGCAGCAAGGAAACTTTATTTTCTCAACATGTATAAACTGATGTGACAGGTAAAGCTGGTATTAACTGCTTAAAGGGCACTAACTTCATTCGGTGTTCAACAAGACTATCATTAAACCTTTTCAGAAGTTATCACTTGCAGAACACCTAAATCTCAATCCTTGAGTTAGTTCCACATTATGTGGTCTTTTCTATAAAGATGCATTGTACAAGACATTAATCATCTTGAATCCAGCACTCCTATAAAAAGAACACTGACTCTGAAAAAGGAACAATCTACATGGCTTTCGGCTTTAAATGCAAGGCTATCCATATGAAGAACAATTTTTTTGGTTTGCTTAGACAGACTTTACATTGGCTACTTTTCAGTTAATGATTAGCTGAGTTATGCAACTAAGTTGTTAACAAATCTGAATCTACCAATACACACTCTCTGATATAAACACTGGTCCAAAAAAAAACTCTACTTTGCCAATTTGTCTTCAACCAAGTGGAAGCTCACCCCAAAAAATGGCATTTTCTGGAACGTGGCAAGTCTACTCCCAGGAGAACATTGAAGATTTTATGCGAGCTCTCTGTAAGTTTAACGAATGACTATGAGTAAGAATGGAAGTGGAAGAAAGTAATAGGGATCTGGTCACAAATTGTGTTGAAAATGATGCTGATTTTCTGATATGATTTTGTTTCCACTCAAACCTATTTACCTATCACCAAAACTGCTGTAGTAACCTGCAATTTAATCCAGAAGTCTTTTAGGACTTAATTTTAATTCAGTCGCATTAAAAATGCTTTCAAAACATAGTTAAGAGTCAACCTGATGGAATTGTATGACAGCTGAAAAGAACATAATTGCAAAAATAAGCATTTTTCACCCAATTTTAAATGACAATATGACTTTTAAAAAAGTTGTATGGAGACATTTATTAGTTATATAGGAATACAGTAGTCAATAGCAAATTTAAGAAAAATAAAAAAAAACTTGAACTATTTAAAAGGTGGCTATAGTCTCCCAGTGTCTCAAAAAAAGCTTCATTTTATGAATCTCTTGGAAGAGATACATGCAGGTGCAGTTAGTGAAAGCATTCTGTCATGATCAATTCCATTCAGATACATAGGCCTGAAGCTTATCTTTTTGTGACTAAGTTTTTTACGATTAGGTTAAGGGTTAGGGTTGTTGTTTTTTGCAGGGTTTTACACTATGATGCCTAATGAGATTTCTCACTGTGTCTCACCTGATTAACTACTCTGCCAATACAGCACACTTCACATCAGATTCTAGCACCATCTTACCACAGCCTATTCCTGGAACAACTCACTGGACATTCATGGAAAGACCGGCATTTCTGGCACCTGCACTGTCTTTGGAATGCCTCCGTGCGCCCGGCAAACATTGGCATTCTGGCGTTACCCCTCACCAGCAATGTCATGGCACAGCAGCTACAAAGCCACACTGTCCATGGCACAGGCTGACACTCTCTCACGCATACAACCCCATTCTCGCACTCTAGCCGGGCCATACAGTCTTAGCTACATCCTGTTTAAGCACCCTCTCTAAGTCACCGCTACTCTGTCCCTGCTGCCCACTGCAGACTTGCAATTTGAGGCACATCACATACAGGTAAATAATCGGACAATTCCAAAGGTGAGCTTTCATTTACAGCCAGGTGCATCCATAAAAATTGGTGAGAGTCTTCATCGACATGCCAAATTACCTTAGTCTCCTGAGGAAGTAGAGGTGTTGTTGTGCTTTCTTGACTATCGCATCAACGTGGGGTGGACCAGGACAGATTGTTGGTGATCATCACTCTGAGGAACTTGACCCTCTCGACCATCTCCACCTCAGTCCCATTGACACGGACGGGGGTGTGCCCTCCACTCCACATCCTGAAGTCAATGACCAGCTCCTTCGTTTTGCTGACATTGATGGAGAGATTGTTGTCTTTACACTATGCCGCTAAGCACTCGATCTTTTTCCTGTACTCTGTCTCGTCATTGTTTGAGATCTGACCTACAACAGTGATGTTGAAAGCAAACTTGTGAATGGAGTTAGTGCTGAATTTGGCTGCACAGTTGTGAGCATACAAGGCGCATAGTAACAGGCTGAGTACACAGCCCTGTGGTGCACCGGTGTTGAGGATTATGGTGGGGGAGGTGTTGCTGCCTATTCTTACTGATTGAGGTCTGAGGGTCAAGAAGTCAAAGATCTAGTTACAGAGGGAGGGGCCAAGACCTTGGTCTCAGAGGTTAGAGATGAATTTGTTTGGAATTATGATGCTGAAGGCAGAGCTGCAGGTATCCTTGTTATCTAGATGTTCGAGGGATGAGCGTAGGGCCAGGGAGATGGCATCTGCCATGGACCTGTTGTAACAGCAGTGAATTGTGAATGATCAAGGCCATCTGAAAGCCTGGAGTCGATGTGAGCCATTATCAACCCCTTGAAACACTTCATAATGATGGAAGTCAGAGCCACCGGGCAGTGAGGGATGCTGCATGAGTTTTCTTTGGCACCAGAATGATAGCGGTCTTCTTAAAGCAGGCAGGGACTTCAGATCATAACAAAGGGAGGTTAAAGGTGTCAGTGAATACTCCCACCAGCTGGTCTGTACAGGATCTGAGTGCACGGCTGGGGACTCCACCTGGGCTGGTCTCTTTCCGTGGATTCACCCTCAAGAAGGCCTACCTAACATCTGTGACGGAGACTGTGGGTACGTGTGCACCTGAGACTGTTGGGATAGGTGACATCATTTCACTGACCTTCTGTTCAAACTGGGTGTAGAATGCATCAAGCTCACTGAATAGGGATGTATTGTTTCCTGTGATTCAGTTTGACTTCACTTTGTAGCCCATTATGTTGTGTAGGCCTTGCTACAAATGACAAGTCAGTGTGGTTGGTCTCGGTCTCAAACTTAGTCTGGCAGACAGAAATGCAGCAAATTCTCCTGTCCAACTGACACTGACTGTCCCCTCTCAGGGTGTTGTCGTGGTCATTTTCCAGTTGTCTTACTCATCTAGAGAATGGGAGGTGAGGACAAGGAGCAGAGTTCACAGTGATCACCGTCAGCACCAGGTCCCCTCCCATCACTAGCCCCTCCACCCCCGGGACCTCCATTCCCCCCGACCTCGGTCTACCCTGCCAGCTCATCCCCACCCACCTACCCACAATATCCACATCATGGGATCCATGGAATCCCTATAGTATGGAGCAGTCCATACTGATTTTCTGAAGAGTAGCCCACCCACACCCATCTCCCTACCCTGTCCCAGTAACCCTGCATTTCCCATGGCCAATCCACCCGAGCCTGCACATCTTTGGACTGTGGGAGGAAACTGGAGCACCCGGAGGAAACCCACACAGACACAGGGAGAATGTGCAAACTCCACACAGAATGTCACCCGAGGGTGGAATCGAACTCGGGTCCCTGGCGCTGTGAGGCAGCAGTGCTAACCACTGAGCCACTGTGCTGCCCCACGGAGACCCAGGGCATTGAAGCTTAACTCCAGCTGCCCCTCCGTGCCCCCGAAACCTGACAAGGTGGTAAAAGAGGGGGAGGTGTGGCATTGTTAGTCAAGGACAGTATTACGGTGGCAGAAAGGACGTTTGATGACAACTCATCTACTGAGGTAGTATGGGCTGAGGTTAGAAACAGGAAAGGAGAGGTCACCCTGTTGGGAGTTTTCTATAGGCCTCCAAAAAGTTCCAGAGATGTAGAGGAAAAGATTGCAAAGATGAGTCTGGATAGGAGCGAAAGTAACAGGGTAGTTGTTATGGGGGACTTTAACTTTCCAAATATTGACTGGAAACGCTATAGTTCGAGTACTTCAGATGGGTCAGTTTTTGTCCAATGTGTGCAGGAGGGTTTCCTGACACAGTATGTAGGTAGGCCAACAAGAGGCGAGGCCACATTGGATTTGGTACTGGGTAATGAACCAGGCCAGCAGTTAGATTTGGAGGTAGGAGAGCACTTTGGTGATAGTGACCACAATTCGGTTACGTTTACTTTAGCGATGGAAAGGGATCGGTATATAAAGCAGGGCAAGAGTTATAGCTGGGGGAAAGGCAATTATGAGGCGATGAGGCAAGATTTAGGATGCATAGGATGGAGAAGGAAACTGCAGGGGCTGGGCACAATTGAAATGTGGAGCTTGTTCAAGGAACAGCTACTGCGTGTCCTTGAGAAGTATGTACCTTGTGGTCAAGCGAGGGAACCGTGGTTTACTAAAGAAGCTGAATCTCTTGTCAAGAGGAAGAAGGAGGCTTATGTAGAGATGAGGTGTGAAGGCTCAGTGAGGGCGCTTGAGAGTTACAAGTTAGCCAGGAAGGACCTAAAGAGAGAGCTAAGAAGAGCCAGGAGGGGACATGAGAAGTCTTTAGCAGGTAGGATCAAGGAAAACCCTAAAGCTTTCTATAGGTATGTCAGGAATAAAAGAATGACTAGAGTAAGATTGGGGCCGGTCAAGGACAGTAGTGGGAAGTTGTGCGTGGAGTCCGAAGAGATAGGAGAGGTGCTAAATGAATATTTTTCGTCAGTATTCACACAGGAAAAAGACAATGTAGTCGAGGAGAATACTGAGATACAGTCTATTAGACTAGACGGGATTGAGGTTCATAAGGAGGAGGTGTTAGCAATTCTGGAAGGTGTGAAAATAGATAAGTCCCCTGGGCCGGATGGGATTTATCCTAGGATTCTCTGGGAAGCTAGAGAGGAGATTGCAGAGCCTTTGGCTTTGATCTTTATGTCGTCATTGTCTTCAGGAATAGTGCCAGAAGACTGGAGACTAGCAAATGTTGTCCCCTTGTTCAAGAAGGGGAGTAGAGACAACCCTGGTAATTATAGACCAGTGAGCCTTACTTCGGTTGTGGGTAAAGTGTTGGAAAGGATTATAAGAGATAGGATTTATAATCATCTAGAAAGGAATAATTTGATTAGGGATAGTCAACACGGTTTTGTGAAGGGTAGGTCGTGCCTCACAAACCTTATTGAGTTCTTCGAGAAGGTGACCAAACAGGTGGATGAGGGTAAAGCGGTTTATGTGGTGTATTTGGATTTCAGTAAAGCGTTTGATAAGGTTCCCCATGGTAGGCTATTGCAGAAAATACGGAGGCATGGGATTGAGGGTGATTTAGCGGTTTGGATCAGAAATTGGCTAGCTGTAAGAAGACAGAGGGTGGTGGTTGATGGGAAATGTTCATCCTGGAGTTCAGTTACTAGTGGTGTACCTCAAGGATCTGTTTTGGGGCCACTGCTGTTTGTCATTTTTATAAATGACCTGGGTGAGGGCGTAGAAGGATGGGTTAGTAAATTTGCGGATGACACCAAAGTTGGTGGAGTTGTGGATAGTGCGGAAGGATGTTGCAGGTTACAGAGGGACATAGATAAGCTGCAGAGCTGGGCTGAGAGGTGGCAAATGGAGTTTAATGCGGAAAAGTGTGAGGTGATTCACTTTGGAAGGAGTAACAGGAATACAGAGTACTGGGCTAATGGTAAGATTCTTGGTAGTGTGGATGAGCAGAAAGATCTCGGTGTCCATGTGCATAGATCACTGAAAGTTGCCACCCAGG